ACAGAAAGAGAATTCTACTTTGTGAGGGTTATAATCCATAAGTGCGGCCGAAGGCCGCCTACGCAGATAGGTGTTCTCTGCAAAAGGTGTTCAGCGCCTTTTCTTCGCATCACAGAAAGAGAATTCTACTTTGTGAGGGTTATAATCCATAAGTGCGGCCGAAGGCCGCCTACGCAGAATGGTGTTCTCTGCAAAAGGTGTTCAGCGCCTTTTCTTCGCAATACAGAAAGAGAATTCTACTTTGTGAGGGTTATAATCCATAAGTGCGGCCGAAGGCCGCCTACGCAAAAAGAAGTTTATACACAAAAACCCTGTATACTTTTTTTTCCATATTAATTCCATTTTCGTGAAAACTATAAAAAGGTATATGTATAAATATGTATATCAAATTAAAGAAAATTAAATTCTCTATCAAAATTGTCCACTTCCTTGAAGAGGTTTTCGAGAAATATTAATTTGAGAAAATGCGTAATTTGAACTTTGACCTTTAATAATTGTTGTAGTTGTTGTTTCCCAAAAAAAATAAATATACCGTTATGTTCACCTCAATGGTCTCTATCGATCCTATTTTTTTTTTTTTAATTCGAGATTTGGTGGTATTGTGCATTTGTTCCTAATTTAACAATAACGTCGGTTGGAAATATGGTATTTGTTGCAAATTTTTGTTATAAATTTGTGTATACATTTTTGTATACAAGATATTTTTATAAAACACCCAGTAACCAAAATAGACACAGAGTTGGGCAAAATTTATTCGAATGACGAATAACAATAATAAATAATTTTGTTTATTCAAAAAAAAAATTATTCGAATGACGGTTAAATTATGTTATTCGTTATTCGAATAACTATTATCTTCATTAATTATTCGAATAACGAATAAAATAATAATAAAACAAGTAATTTATGTATATAGATATGTACATATATTTATGTGTAAAATGATAACCGTTTTCGTTGTTGTGATTTAACTCAAACCCCTAGATAGATTTAAATCAAATTTTCGGAGGTTATTCCATGCGCATAAAGTCCTATTAAAGGCTACTAGAAAACTGCTTTGTGGCGATGGAGCCGAGTTATTTATAAAAGCCGTATTTATGAACTGATTTCGTGCAAATTCAAAATGTGTTCTTCCTGCATGATGAAAAATACTTATGCGAAAAATGGACCCGCTAGGTGGCGCTACAGTTGAGTTATTTAGAAAATCCCTACTTATTGTACAATCAGGTTGCAATTCATAATCGTGCTGCAGTCGAAATCTCTAGAAACCCCATATGTCTGGACTCCTTTGTTTTTTATGTTTATATTATACGAATTTACGATGTCCCACGTCGTCATATACCCTAAATGCGACCTTGCATCTACCTCCGATTGATGAAATTGCTCGGGCGGCCATTGCTGCAGCAGTAAGACTCAAGGAAACCAGCTCTTGGATATTTTAAAAGTGGCGAATCAGCAAGGAAAGTTTCGACCACATCCTTCCAATTCCTATATCAATGGCCAAATTTTACATCGAGGATTTTTGGCTCTCCTATAATAGAAAACGCACATCTGTGCTCTTCAGCATCCTTATAAGGACTTTTGTTGGCCTACATGACATAAGACTAGAGGTTGACGCATCAGACCAATGTTGTAGTTGCAAGATCATAGAAGAAGATCACGCACGCTTAGAAAAGATCTCACAAGTGGAAATAAGACCATTGGTAAAGCTCATGACATTGAAAGGAATTTTTTCTTGCATATAGCATCAGAGCGCAATTTTTTTGGCCGAAATATGTGTGAGAATTTTTACTTTACCCATATTTGGTTTTCAACGCTATTCTTGCATTGGCCAACGCAAAAAATCTTATCAGGGGCCGCGAAACCAGAGGGTATTCTTGATAAAATAGTAAACAAAATTCAGCTAACTTACAATCCTTGACAATAGAAATAAAAGTAAAAGGTGGCTCAGTGTGTTAAAAATGAGTTTTTATTCATTATTTAAAATAACGAATAAATTATTCGCAAGCAATTTATTCACGAATAATTTATTCGTGAATAAGTTATCTGCGAATAATTATATTACGGATAAAATTTTATTCGAATAATTATCTAAATAACAATTTATTCGAATAATGCCCAACTCTGAATAGACATCACTGGGGCGGTAGCCCCAGGTTTACCACACAGAAAGGGAATTCTAGTTACCTCATCCTTTCCCAAGCTTACATCACTGGGGCGGTGACTTTTCATAAAGCGGCGTTCATCCTCCTTCGTTTAGGGGGGGTTTGGGGGAGCCACGCCCAAATCAATATAACACATATTTATTGTTAATAACATAGTAGCCTTGTTCCAAGGACTTTACTATTAGTAGGCTTTTCAGGATTTGCAGGAAAATCGGGTTTCTCCATTATTAAGGAAGGTGGCGACTGGGAACAGTTTCCTATAAAAACCTGTAAATCGTCAATCACCTCGAACAGACGGTGTATAATAACCAAATTGAAATCAATAGTGGTATTCACCAAATTGAGCAAGTGGCCTGGCACTCTGGTAAAAGACCACGACTGTTGACAACTGTCGTTGCTTGAGCTGATCTGCTCTTTTGCCAGACTGCCAGGCCACTTTCTCACTTGGGTGAACTCCACTAATATATGACATACACTTGTGATCAGCTAATTAAGTCATCAACATTTTGATAAATTTTGACTATTTTTCTTTTGCCCATAAAAGTCTAGGTATAGCTTATAAATCCACATTACAAACATTGCGGAAAAATTATAAAAAATCTACAAAGTTTCAGCTAAATATTCAACTTTTATGCAGGTTTTTTAGAATTTTTGTTTAGTAAGCAGTTTAATAGCCCATTAAATTCCAGGGTAGTAATATGCAAGTTTTAAGATGCTAAAGAATTGCGTCGATTTTTAATAATACGGACCGTTGAGCTGGTGAAAAAAGAAAAAGTGGCCATGGTTCATCCCTTGGTGGCTAAACGTGGAATTTCCAATGTTTTCAAAAGCTTATATTTCAAAAACTATGAACCGATTTTCAAAATATGGACACAGTTGGAAAGGTGATTGAAGGACCTTTCATTCTATATATATATATATATACAGTGACGAGTAAAACTATAACATGGTGTAACACTTTTTCTTTCAGCCACCGCTATATTTCCAAGTTCTAACGACTTTCATCATTTTGATGTATATTCTTGTTGGTACACCCTTACTCCCTCTCTCATAACGATTTGAAGTCAATACAACAACAATAAAAAAACCAGCAGACAAAAATGTAAATTAAGGCAAATGTTACAGTTTTGCACTCACTCTCAGTTTTGCATTTTACTTAGTTGGAAGTTAGATTACTTTTTTCTGTATTGTAATTTCTTAAAGAAGTTATCACTAGTAAATATTGTGGTTAATAAGGAACCATAAATGTAAATAATAGATGTACTGCGGAAAGGCGGGACCGTAGGAAAAGTGGCAAAAAATTGTGGAGTTCGCTACTAGAAAATGTTTAGACTTAGAAAAAATATTGCCTAAAGTGTTCCTAAGGACAAAGGAAGTCTGTCAAAAAATATTACGGTTCGATATCTTGTGAACTAAGCAGCAAGTAGCGATGCAGCTACTATCACAGAAGCGGTGAAGGTTGTTGTTGTTGTTGTAGCGGCTACAACAACCCCGCCCAGGACGTTTGGTATCTCAGTCGTTGTCGTCAAGTTCCACTAACGGCAACCCTAGGAAGCGTGCAGTTTCTGTGGGGTTTGTCTACAGGGACAAGGCCGTTAGGGTTGTCGGGTTTTCCGGGCATGCGAAGAGATGTTTCGAGTCATGTGGGGTCTCTCCGCATGCCGGACACTCATTCGGCACATCCTCATTCAATCTACTCAGGTAGGAGTTTAACCTGCTGCTGTAGCCGGAGCGAAGTTGTGCAAGTGTTGTGCGAGTCTCCCGAGGCAGATGAAGCTCCGTCTCGTCTATGTCCGCGGGTGGTATGCCTAGAACGGCATTCACAGGTCTAGAGTCTACATAACTCGAGACTGAGTCCCTGTGAATGCCGTTCAGGGCCTGTCGGTAAGCTGTCGGGTCCAGAGGTTGCTTGATGAACCTCTGGACTTCGTCCGTCAGTTCATATAGATGCCTCCTGACGTGCCTAGGCGAGGGCTCCTCTGCAAGCAGCTGTCTGCTTGGGAGGCCACTTCTGTGGCTCCCGATCAGGAACTGCTTGCAGAGCATTATATTGTGCTCCTTTACGGGGAGCATTTGCGCCTCGCCGTGTAGATAGTGTTCGGGCGACATCAGGAGGCATCCTGTCGCTGTCCTGAATGCGGTGTTCTGTACAGTCTGTAGCTTCGTCCACTGCGTCCTACTAGTCCCCGG